CAGTTAAGCTCGCAAAAGGGGATGCTGGAGACCCCCTGCACAGTGACGCGGGGGGGGGGGGCAGCCTTTGCTCTATGCCTTGCTGGGTGCCCCAGTCGCTGTTTGACCCCCGCCATGGGGCTGTTATTTTTAAAAGGTCACCTGTCTGTGCCGCAAAGGTCGTTCATTTACCAGCAGAGCGACTCTGCCAGCGATCGAAGGCGTCAGGCGGCGACAGGAAGATGACAGACCTGCTATTCCTCTCCCCCGTTTTCCAGCCTAATTGAAACATACCCTGTGAAGATATTTAAATGGGGTCTTTTCACAACAAAAAAAGGAAATCTCACTCTTGAAGGCCACAGTCAGGCGTCCATTCACTCGATTCGACCGCGGGAATCGAGCCCTATCTTTACCCCCTTTCTGATGTAAATATCTTGCCCAAGGATGTGACTGCTCTTATCCAGCCGGGATACGTGGCCCACAGCCTCAGCCGCTATACTCCCTACTACCCTGACTTTGCAGAGAATGATTTAAGAGCGCATTGCTTCACTGTGAGGCTTTTCATTTAGCTGGATATCAGCTGAATCCATTTAGTGCACAATCTGGTCCAAAAAAAAACCGTGGACACTCTGGCAGGGAGCTGGGAGGGAGAAAAAACGCGGACCGTCTGTGCGTCGCCGAGGACCGAGTTGGGAAACACTGATTTAGTTTGTTGCTTAGTATGTTTCTGTGCGTGCAGCTGCAGCATGTTCTTGGAAGTGCAAGTCTAGTCGCTCTCAGTAAAACAGACCAACATGGGAGATGATAAATTGTCTCATATGCTACCTGAGCATCGATGGTTCTGTGCACTACCCAATGGCCCAATCACCTTCCTTTGGTGCGAGTTATGGTTCAAAACTGCACTGTCATTTGTTGATTGTGACCTAGATCTCTTACCGGTGGAATTAATTGGGTTCATTCCTCCGCGGCGAGAGGATAATCAGCAGGACTCCGGATCTGCCCAGCAAGTGCCTTAAACAGTTGTTGATCCAGATGTGACATACTGGTTGCCAGGGGTAGGTGTCGTGCGGCTTGTCCAATCAGCACTTGGCCCCATCACATGGTGTCAGCTTATTGGTGTTCAGGGAAAGGCTGTGATCACAGCAGTATTAATGGCAGAAGGATGCTTCAGCTGCTCTCAGGCTATTGGCTGATACAAACACTGCTGTGACACGGACAGCTGAGCTTAGAAGGATAAGGTGCAACTGGAAATAGGTATGTGAGAAAAAAGAAGGAAAATGACAAACTACTCTGGTGAACGTTGGATGGATCGTTGACAGATGGCCCACCAGATGTAACACAGTCACCTCACTGGTCAGACTGGGCCCCTGCAGGGGTGGCTGTCAACCCCCAGCTGGCTTTCGGCATCGCAGGACAGGCGGATGTGGCAGACGGGTGGACACCGAAGAAGATCAGACACCATCACACTGACCTGAACTTAGAGCCAAACAAGATCACCAGACCCAAGGTTTACGGGAATCTGGAATAATTGGGCAACCAGGCCAGAAGTGATATGCTATTATCTTTTTCAAAATAGCAGGGACTGACTGTGGGTAATTAACAGTGTAGTGGTACTTTATTTCGTCTCCATAGGCTATACATCTGAATGAATTAATGTTACATTTATGTGGCACTTTTCAAGACACCCAGAGCACCTTATAGAACTTTTTCAGGCCACAGAATCAACAAACGTGCCCTTGCACAGATCCAGGCATCTCTGCATGCTGCCGTCAGCCTCGTCACAGATGGGACACTGCGGCAGGAACGTCACAGGCTTGTAGATGAGCCAGGACAGTATGGAGGCAATATCACAGTGTCAGGTTCAGCGGATACATTTCCTGTGTTCCTGTCTCAATCAAGAACAATGCTGGGATCTGTCATTCACCAGCAACGGCAGAGTGCGCTTCAGAAGCCAAGAATATAACCCTGTTTTTGCATCCTTGTTCCCTTTTTCTAGATCTGGCGTGGGAATTCCGCAGGTGGACCGCTGACGAATGCCACCCTTGTGGGCGGCTGGCCCCCGTCCGAGTCACAGGCAAGACTTTTGACGACATCAGGACGCGGCGATGCCAAGGTGGAACGAGACGTGCTGGACGCAGTATTGTAAAGTAAAACCTCACCTGGCCATTACACCCACAGGAACTTTTATGACGTCCCATTCTAAATCCAAGGGCATCAATATGGAGCCGGTCCCCCCCCTTTGCAGCTGTAACAGCTGCCGCTCTTCTGGGGAGGCTTTACACAAGATTTTGGAGAGTGTGGGAATTTTTGCTCATTCATCCAGAGAACATTTGTGAGGTCAGGCACTGATCTTGGACGTGGAGGCCTGACTCTCAATCTCTATTCTTTTTTAGCTGCAAAGATGGGGGGGGGAGGGGGAGCAGCTCCATGTTGATGGCGGGGGGGGGGGCACATATGGCAGAGGACTTCTTCAGAATCTCGGCCCAGCAGGCAGAGAGCAGCACCACTATATTCAAGGCTGTTGTGTTTTGTGCTGGGAGTGATGTAACCCGAGTCATGTATAAGGAACATTTAAGGACAAGATTTTGTGTTTGAAAAAACAATTTAATCACGGCCACGTTGGCCGTTTTTCATTCAGTGTTCATGGGTTAAATATTTTGGTTAATTGTGTCAAGTTTGTATTCCGTATGTCACTGCTGTTCTTGTCCAGTGGGGCCACCTACTGGCAGGAGGTTGTACATGTACGCACATCTGTCACATTACATATTCTACTTTTCTGTTATGCTCACTATTGGAAAAACATGTTTATTACTGTACCATAGCAACCAAGCAATTTATTTATGCCCTTTTAATGTTTTGGTTGAGGCTGATTCAAAATACTTTGTAAGGACAAAGCTGCAAACTCTGATTTGAAAGTCTGACTGAGTAGCGGAGGAAACGGGAAAGCAGCCCAAACGGGTGCATAATTAATGTGACACTGAAGAAGAAAAACACACCGATGTTATTCTCCATCATATAATCCTGGCGGTCTGTGTGTTGTTTTCCATATGCTGTGTAGCAGGTATGCAGATCCTATTTGTGTCGCGTGTCTTTGATGACTGCAGGCTTTTAGTTCTGCTCCGCCCCCCCCCCCTCCCCTCCCCTCCGTGACACATTTGTCTTTGGGCCTCATTTACACTCCTTTAGCATCAAAGGCTCTGCCCTTTAAGGAAGCCCTTCCCTGCACTTTGGCAGCATCTGGTGGCTGGAAAAGGTCACTAATGTCTCATTTGTTATGCGTCCCGCCATGACAGATAAACCTTGTGCTGCAATTTCTTTCTTTCTTTCTTTCTTTCTTTCTTTCTTTCTTTCTTCCTTCGGATTTCCTAATGAACCTAACTTTGCATGAATAGTGACCCTAACCGATGGTGAGGTGAGCTTAGGGAGGTCTTTCTGACCTACAGCCCCTCCCTGTTAGAGGGCTACTGTCATGTCTGCTGCTCCAGGTCAGAGCCGACAGTTCTGCCTTTTAGGCTTGAACATTGCTGGCCTTAATGAATAATGTTACCAGCAATGGATGGGGGGGGGGGTGCTAAATAATAATTTTACATTTAAAAAAACACTATGCAGAACATTTCTATGTGTACACACACACACACACATATATATACATACATATATACAAATACACACACACACATACACACACACATACACACACATACACACACAGGCACCAAGTGTAAACACACTGCCTGCAGAAAGTCAGGCTGTCTAGACCTGTGGGTGATGTTAGTCCTTTGCAGTGATTAGTGGCGATATGCTACCGTCGGTCTCCGAAAGGGAACACAGCTATAGCCCCTGGCTGTCTATACGTCAGTGAGGCAAGGCAGATTGCTATATAAACACTTTTAAAATAACAAATAACATTATCTGTCGGAAAGCGAATGTGAACGTTATCTGTAAAGTTTATTTGATATTTAATATTTCTCTTTTGTTCGTTTTTTTTAAATTATCTGACTGTCGAGCAGTAATTATGGAAGGGGACCCACGACGTATTTTAACTTTTCTAGGTTCTTCCTATCTGGTGTGAATGAACATTTCATTTGTGGAGACTTTCATCTCCGCCACAGTAGGTGGCAGCAACAAGACAGACGAGCGTGAAATCTGCCATAGCTCCCCACAAGAAGAAGACGAAGCGCCTGCTGGAGTTCAGCTGCCACCCTTGGCCCATCATGTAAGTGCTGCGGAACATTCCCTGCAGTTGAATTGCAAAATTTCTCGTTTCAGCCTGTTTTGCAAGGCGTGCAATTCTACATTTGCTCCAAGCAAGGAAACCTGGAGTATAGAGGCCAAACGGCTCTAGTTGCATGAAGATCCCGGCTAGGATTTTGCATCATTGTTGCAAATCGAGCCGCTGAAGCTACAGCCAGAACGAGAGATGGAGGGAGGGAGCGATAGAGAAGGCAAAGTCTTTTGTGCTTCCCCTCCCCCCAGAGGAGAAATGTCTCCAACCAAGGGAGGTAAGAATATTTAAACGATCCGTGCAAAACTGTAGCATTGCATTCAGGGCTCCAGTCTTTGCAAAGATCGGTGCAGCAAGTCGAACACAGCCAATGCATTTAATTTTAATGCGTTTAAATGGTCAGTTGCATTTCCTGTTTAGGATCAGTACTTTGCAGAGTTCCTGGTAAGACGATGCCAGCACTAGTTACTGTAATAACTGTATTATTCGCTTACCTTTCGCTTCGATACCAGGAATCTGTCTTTGTAATTTGTTGGCAGCCCCATGAAAAGTGTGAACATTGAACTGCACGCAATGCCAGCGTTCCGTCTTACAAATGCATAAGTTAAAGTGATAATTTTTGCTTATTAAAGACTATAATCGTTGCACATTTGCTAATGCGCGTCTTTTTCGCTGCGCATCTATTATTTGCAAAATCGCTCAGCACGCGCATTCTTGTGGACGGTTTGGCCTCCTTGCTGTGTCAGGTACGACCGGCCAGGATATAAGGCACAAGTGTAAGGCCAAGTCTGCTGCTTGCAATTTTGTTTTCGCCCTCGATGTAACGTAATGGAAAACATATTAAATTGAGCTCAGGCGGCTCGTCTTGGGGGGCGAAGTTTTGTTTCTGCACCCAGTAACAAATAGGTAGACACTGCAAAAATAACACGCTAAAAATAGTTTTGTTGCACACACGTAGCTGCCACAAAACAGTTCAAGGAACGGGGCTACGGAGTACTTAAATGCAAAAATGGATGAGAAAATAATCCAAGCTGTATTGAATTATGAGGAAAATGCCTTCTTTATCAGAAGCATGACTGCACGTTGAATATTGCGTGTGGCGTCGAGAAAGCAAATAAATAAAATAGCAGTGTAACGCATTCCTTGAATAACTTCGCACATTTCAGATGTCAGAGGGGGGTTTCGGTGCCCCGATCCCTTTAAGTCCCGTGAGGGTGCATGACTTCTCACACACTGGGCCTAATTGTAGCTTCCATGGATCCGAACATCGAGCAACGCCCTGCGACCAAACAGGGTGTTTTATTCTCTGAATTTGAGACCCTTTTCGTGGTTGTGTTCAGGAAGTGGTGAAACTGTCTGCAGTGAATAAAACTGATTTTTATAATCGCTGCTCTGGGATAGTGCATGTTTTAGTTGAACCCCGCAATGTGTCATTTTTATTTTCTCCTTGGCTGTGGGCTTGAGGCGTAATCTTACCTGTAAGAGACGTCTGCATGGAGCCCATTGTATACCTGTACTACGGAGGTTCCCAAATGCCACCTTAGTCTTGCTCCTGCTTGACGTCATTTCAAAATTAGCAAGCAAGTGTGACGTTTATAGGAGTCACGCACGTTACGCACGTTTGCACGTTTTTTGGTTATTTTGAAAGCACTCGGTGCTTGTCCACTGTGGTTTGCATGACAGCGGAACGTTGCATGACAGCGGAACGTTGCATGATTTGGAACCTGCCTCTTTTAAACTGCTTGTGTAGATTCATAGGCCTGTGCACCCCTTGAAATTAGATGAGACTGAACTCGATTGTTAAAATAGAGTTTTGCTTGTCTTGACTAACCTGCTGAATGTTTCACGGTTTAACTATATTTAAAGTCGATTAAAGTGGGAACTGGGTGTTCTAATACCTGAGAAAGTAAACTTATAAACTCTGAAGTCATTGCAAACAGTGTCCCTGTCTACTTCCTCTTGTGATCTTGCTGGTGAACCTCCCGGGAATCCATGCTTTGTTAGGCCTTCCCCTAACTCCCGGCCCATTATTTGACTTGTTGCCGTCCAGATTGTTTGCCACATTGACTTATGGGAAGTTGGGGGGGGGGGGACCCCGAGGGCTGCAGGTAATGTGGCCCGTGTCTTCACAAACGTGGCGACTTTATGCTGTGAGTTCATTTGTGTACGAAGGATGTGGCATAAAGTCCATGCAAATCAGTTCTGCCTCAGCTTGCAGTCTCCAATCCTTTCACTGGCCTTGGTCCAGACCTGTAGAGGAATTCTGCAGCTCACACAGTAAGAGCTTTCTCTGATTTTCTCTCTTTTTTTGGTTTTATGTGGTTGGTCTCCCTCCCCCAGCCTTTATTAAGCTCTGAAATGCACTAAACTGTTACAAGATATACATTTAGTCCTTTTAACAAGAAATGTGTCTCCAAGGTGTGTGTTCAGCGTTCCTGCTGTAATGCTGGCTGGTTCGTGCCGAGTCTGCATCTCTTCCAGGGCCGTGGGTGTGCGAGCACAGCATGCCGCTTGCCGACTGTATTTATTTATTTATTTGCCTTATTTTTATACGGCACCTTAGGCCCGTAGTTCTGCTGGAGAGTGTGGCAGCGTATGCTCAAGGTGAATTTAATAAGAGATCAAGGTAACGTTAAGTGTTTGGTGCAGAAACCGGCTTTACATTGAGTCGCTATTGGTGAACAGATTTTGTGCAAATGAAATCTGGACAGCTGCCGAATAGTATAAGGAACGCATTCGTGCTTCAGTTGGTATGCATGTTTTGTGTCATTTTCAATGCGACGCAGAGGCACAGAAGTCTGCTTCAGCTGACGGTTCAGCATCATGTGACGCTTCCCCGCGTCGTTCTGAGAGCCGGGGAAGGCCCAGCGTGCCTCTCTGGCTAATGCCGCGGATCCTGAAGCACTTCTGCCCTCCGCCGGAGAGGCTGGTGAGCTTTGCTGCTTCACGGGAGGCAGTGAATGACCTGCCGCTGTCTGCAGGAAGGCTCAGACGTGGCGGAGTCTTCGCCGCGGCCCCAGCCGACTCTGATTTGCCGTTGTGTAAAACCCCGAGGCGTGTCGAAACCGGAGACTTCGTAATCCGTACGTTCCTCCTATTACCTCATCATCACACGTACTGTAGACTATATACGTCCTCGTCATCCATTTCTCTGATTTAGGATTGAAAACATGCAGCACGACACGATCGTGGAAGCATTGATCGTTTCCGAATGCTGCTTGCATACACAACATTGCTCAGAGACATGTCCGCACTGTTTATACAACAATTTTTTTGACCTGGCTAAGGTACGACAGCTGTGTGGCTTGGGTAGCCATAGCGATCGGGGGATTCGGAATTAAGGGCCGTACCAGTGATAGGGCACAAAGTCCAGGTCTGTCATCATAAGGTGTCCGCTGCACCAGTGCACGTATGCCGGCAATGCTGGCTCACCCCGCGCATGGTCACTATCATGTACCGGCTGGCTGTCAGACAGGCTGCTGGGTCACTAATGGTGCACAGGGAGGGATTGTATGCTGCTTGCTGTGTCATGCTGGAGGGGGCTTTAAAGGAACTGAATGAACTCTTATTGAAATCGAGCCACCGGGAGTGAACCGCGAGGCAACGAGTTTGTGGGTGGGAGGCAGTTTGAAGCGGATATTCTGTGCTGAACCTGCCCCCGTTCCCTTCTACTGGTTCCGGAATTCCATTGAAGACCGCTTGAGATTCTGGGCGGAGTCCAGGCAGGAATTGGGCAGAATAGAGATGGACTAAGGAATGGGGGAGGGGGGTAGGAATCTTAGCGATGCAGGGCTTGCTGCCAAAAGGCAGTTGATGAGTATCTGATTCCCCCGCTTCCAGTGAACTATCCTTTCCCTGAATTGAGTTGTTTCTAAATTTGTCCTTTGCCGTGTTTTATTGGTGAGCTTCTGTGCAATTAGTTCTTTCTCGTTGATGCCTTCCATCACTTTAATACCTTCGAAAGAACCAAATCACGCAGATCCTGGGGCAGTCAGGGGCATCACAGTGCCAATCCCTGCCCTGGACGTTGATATTCAGAAGCCTTTCCTTCTGTAGTCTAGCAAGTCCCACGTCTTAAATGCTTCGAGCATGTGGATGCGGTGGGACCGAAACATGCCGTCCTCCATCTATGATACGGATAAGCGTAGCGGCATTTGAGGGGATGTCTGTCGCTGTTTGCCCAGGTCTCAGGGTCATCGCGGCGGGTGGCGCTCATCAGGGGCCGGTTACTTTTATGGCTGTGGCCGCACTGCACCATGTCTCTTCCTACTTGGAAAATAAAATACGCAGAATATCCTTGCGCCACCGAGATTCCCACTTTGCAGCTTCTTACCACTTTGTTCTTCTGTTTACACACGAATAGCAGTTCCAGGTTCCCAATCAATCTGGCACAGGTTAGAAAAACCTACACATGTTGGTAGATGAGGTAAATTTCCTTCTTTTCTGTTCTTTGCATTACGTTTTTTTTTTTTGCAGTGTTCTTATTTAAGATTTCATTTTATGATGCCTGTTGGATCTTACTAAGAGCAGACTACTTGTCCCGAGTCATTCTTTCATTGTTGGTTTTAAGGGGTTTTCTTTCCAGTGGAATGGGGACGTGTGCATGTGCGCTCCAGTGTCCCCGCTGGCGCGCGTGTTCGGCCTTGTGTGCTCCAAGGCCCACGCGGCCGCCATCGAGACCACGGAGGCCTTCCCACTCATGCGGAGCGTGCCTGGTCTTGTCCAATGAGCCGCTGCCTTTGGGGCCGGCGGCTCTCCGGAATTCCATTCGTGTGTGGCGGGAGAGGGGGAGCGGGCTCACCGCCTTTCTGTGTTTTGTACCGCTGTGTTTGTAGAGCGGAGTTACTCAGTCCCAGGAATGGAAGCAGTAGAGGAATTTGCTGTGACTTAAAGATCAAACGTGGAAAGGAGCGCTGAGCATGATCCCCCACCCCCCCCTCCCCTTTCTTTCGAAGTTCCTTATTCCACTTAAGCCTTTCATAGATGCCAGTGTCAAACGTGCAATGGGCTGTGGGTGCGAGTGGCTGAAATCTGCTGTCTGCTGAGGCTGTCAGGATTACTAGTTCAGACTAAGTCGCTGTTGCATCTTTTGGGAGGTAAAGTCGAATAATTCAAGGGTAGCTTTCCACTCCGTGGAGACACCAGTTTGATGAACGGTTGTGTTTTGCTGAATATTTCAGTTCATGTCCAATTGAATTGTACTTATTTTGCAGGCACGTTTGTCTAAAGCAACATAGAAGTGACGCAGAGTCAGCCAACACCCAAGACCCTAGAGAAGTTTAAGGGTTCAGGGCCCAAGAGTACCAGCCACGGGATTCAAACCCACAACCCGATGGGCATGGGTCCAGATTCCTAACCTGCTGTGCCACACAGTTCCTGGTTTTTGGGTTGTGGTTTGTTAAATTGATGCATCTGGTGTTAGTGACCTTGTGAAAGGTATTTGGTCGTCGTGGCTTGTTTGTTTGGACAAAGATGTCTTGATTTTTGTGGTGTCGTCGGTGAAACGTGAACAAACCTTTGGCGGTGGGGCTTACTTGGATTGGATCGGAAAGCCAAGCAGAGTAACGCGTGAGCATTTTGATGGATGGACAGGTTAACGTCTGAAATGTCGCTCTTGAAATGCTCATATGTGAAACTGATCTGTCCATGAGCCTTTTTTCTGCTTCATGACCCAACCTCGCCTCCTCCTTGGTGTCCTCCAGCAGGAAAAGCAAGAGGCAGAGCCAAACTCAAGCTGTCAAAGGAAGTTTTCGAGCAGCCGCCTCAAACAGCACCGTAAGAGATTTCCCAACCCTCTTTAGACAGACAGGAAGATAGGCAGTATATGTCAGGGAGGGGGGCCTGGGGCATTATGGGTACAAATTCAAGTGTTTTATACTTTATGAAAAGACGATATTGGTGGTGTATTACAGCTCAGCATATAGTCCATGACTTCATTGCCCACCAATTTATGCAGCCGTGATTTTTCACACTTATACCCCGTGGGCCCACAGATGGGACCCCTAGTGACTCTTACCACAGCGATTCGGTCAGAAATCTCCATTCTTTATATCATAATCAAACCAGCATAATTTTTTATATTTTTCCTTATACCAGCAGACCCCCGAGAGATTTGGATTCGAAAGCCTGTGTGACCATTGGAGGGAAGGTACAGTCCAATCCTACGTGTCTCCTCTTCGATTTTATTGGTTCATCTGACCAGCAGCTATTTCCTCATCTGCCAATGAGAGTGTCCCATGGTTATTAAGCACCCGCCATTCTGTATTTCACCGGCGCCTTTGAGATGTGCATTCAGCATCTGCTGAAAAGACTTTGCGTAACTCAGAGAGTCATCGCTGGCTGGTTTTGCGGCGTTCTTGCTGTGTTAGCATCTCTACATGTGAAGCCCATGCTTTTACAGTCGCTTGAGGCAGTCAGTCATGCCCCAACCCAAAGCGACACCCACTGTACATTACAAGCGAATCACTGAAGCAGACCAACTGAAGGCTCTTGGGAATGTTCTTCGTGTCCTTCCGAGCAGCAGAGAAAATATTTATTTTAAACTTCTAAAATTAGTGGAATTTTCCATTGGCAGTGGTGACAGTTTTCTTCCCTTATAAGTGAGAGTAACCACTGTTTTGTAAACGTAAGATTAGAAGTGTTTCAATTCCCTTTTCGTATTAGTTGCGTTGCATTTTTTTAAAGAACTTGGAGAAGGTTAAAATCACCAGTTTTGGGGATAATTGGTCACAAACGGTACCGGAAAAGAATCAAATACTATAATATGCAGCACTCAGTTACCAAAAATGTAATTTAATTAGCAGTTATGTATGTCATTAATTGACTTCTGTGACTAATCAATTGCTGCTTGGCCTTGACACAGGTGCCTGAATAAACGTGATTAACGCTCCTGGTAATGGATGATGTCCTTCCCTTTTCCTGATCACATTTAATTTCCTTAAATAGAGTAATATTATTGGAGGATGAGGACAAAGCTCATCTGATTGAAAGTCTGTCTGTTAGTGATTTCATTCTAAGGCATTTTACTGGCCTGGAGTCTTCATGCTATAAGTGCCTCTGTTGTTGTTGTGGCATTTTGATTATTCTTTGTCCCTGTTAATGAGGTATTTGGTGGCCGCCACCTTAATCGACTCCTCTTCTGCTCTCGCTCTCAAGCTCTGCTTCTTCTTCTTGTACTTATTCATTTTCTCAATCCCCATTTGACCAGTTAATAATAATAATAATAATAATAATAATAATAATAATAATAATAATAATGACACTTTTTGATCCTTGTGGGGAAATTCCTTTTGCCTACGCCATCTTACTGTCCATGACACACAGTTACACATGTAGGTGACAGTGAGCTTGACAGTGAAGGGCAGCCACTGGCAGTAGTTCCCACTGGACTGGGAGTTAAGTGCCTTGCTGAAGGACCCACAGACATGACTATTCTACCCAGGCCAGGCTCGAACCGGCGACCTTGGGGTCACAGGCACGGAGGCTGAGCCCACTAATCCATACGCTGCCCCCCCCAATCTCCGCTGGTCTCTCTGTCCCCCCTAGAACTTCGAGGTGAAGGCGGACGACTTGGAGCAGATCAGCGAGCTGGGCCGCGGGGCCTATGGGGTGGTGGACAAGATGCGGCATGTGCCCAGTGGTCAGATCATGGCGGTGAAGGTGAGCAGGGAGGCGTGCCGGGACTCGTCTGGCGGATTGTAGAGAGGGGAGCGCCTCCTGCTGGTGAGCCACTGCCTTATTTCCTGAATGTTCCTTTAGCGGATCAGAGCCACAGTGAACACGCAGGAGCAGAAGAGGCTGCTGATGGACCTGGACATCTCCATGAGGACTGTGGACTGTTTCTACACGGTCACCTTCTACGGGGCTCTCTTCAGAGAGGTGCCGTCTCTCACCTTCAGTCCCCTCAGCACAACCATAGTGTCATTAACTGTAGTCCATTCAGCAGCAGGCTGTCCTGGCTAATTGATAGCATCTCTGCAGATGCTCTGGTTCCCCTTTCCACCCCCTCTGGTGGCAGGTTTCCGGAAAAATCTCTCACCTCTATAGCAGCTGTGTATGTGTAAGCTACTTGTGATCAAGTCATTTTTTGCATTGAAATACCTGGCCATCTGCTCAATACACAGTTCAGTGGTTTGAAGTCTGTGGTTGAGCGAATCCTGGTAATTACAGAATAGACGCCCCACTCTGACTGTCTGGTGGACCTGCACAACATGGCAGCTCATTATGTGTTACTGCTGTTGTTTTGTTTGTTCCGGCTAAAGGCTTGCTTTTGTGAAAATTAGCCTTTTTGGACAAATCATGTAGCGACGGATGTAGCTTGTTGTTGGTGCGTGGGGGGTGGGGGAGCTGGGAGTTGAGGGGGTGGAAGATTTCCTCATGTGGATACCTTCCTCCAGTGAGCGTTGCACCGGAAGTTCCACACTGGGCACCTTGGCCCACTTTCTGTTGGTCGATTAGCATCTCAGGAATGTGGCTACCCCTCTCCTGCCTGTACTTCCTGCACACAGCCCACCCCCGCCAAATATTCTGACCCGGTTGCCTTGGTGTTTCCAGGGTGACGTGTGGATCTGTATGGAGCTGTTGGACACCTCATTGGACAAATTCTACAAGCAGGTTATTGAGAAGAGGATGACCATCCCAGAAGACATCCTGGGAAAAATGGCGGTGTCTGTGAGTGGGCGGAGTCTCTTGTTGTCGTAGATACCGTTAGATGTTTTTGGTTAAGACTGCATGTTTTTTGCTTAGGCTTCAGCCTTTGTTAGGATTGACATAGTTGAGCCAGATAAAAACATCCAGGGCGTCAACAACAGATAATTCCTGTCTTTGCTAATGAAGACAAACTGGTTAGAATGGAATAGTGGTACTTTATTCATTTATGTGGGGAAATTGGGGTAGTTTTTATTACCTAATCTTGCTCAAGAGCCCAGTAGTGATATCATTACACTGTGAGCTATGAGATTCGAACCCATGACCTTCCGGACATGGGTACATGTCCCTAACCCACAGACATCACCCTTTTAGTGCCTCAGTGTCATCCACTGAACCCAAGTGTACAGAGAATAATTCACATTAAGGGAAGTGATTCTGTGATTCAGACAGATGTTGAACACCGCCCCCCCCCCCCCCCCCCCTTGCAGGGTGATGGTAGAGAATGAAATGGTCTTCTGCTGGCAGTAGTGGTGTCGCTGCTGTGGAATGAATCGCTCTTCGGTCCTGTTACAGATACGACCCGCAGTGTCCTATCAGTGTTCATGCTGATAGCTGATTTTTTGGGCTTAGAGTACCATTAGATGAAACTGGTATTTTTGGGGCACACGTAATTCACACAGTTCACCGTGGTTTGCACATTTAATTCAGCACTGGGTGGTCATCCTTGCCGTGACCTACTGCCCCCCCCCCACACACACACACACGCACACACACACACTGACACTTCATCAGAAGGGGTGGCATGTTGGCAGGGAGTGTAGATAACCCGGGAAGTTTGGTAGGATGAGTTAAAGTGAAGTTCAGGGATGTCGAGTGGCTGCCTGACCTGCTCTCCCCCCCTCTGGCAGATTGTGAAGGCTCTGGAGCATCTGCATAGCAATCTCTCAGTGATACACCGAGGTGAGTTGCTGCTGGCTGCCCAAGGCTGCATAGCCCTTTCCTTTGATCTTATGTGGCCCATCCCTACGCTTTAAAGTGAGGTCACCCTCTGGCTTGTGCCCTCTCTCCTCGTGCCTCCCGCCTGCAGACGTGAAGCCGTCCAACGTGCTCATCAATGCGCAGGGCCAGGTCAAGATGTGCGACTTCGGGATCAGCGGCTACCTGGTGGACTCTGTGGCCAAGACCATGGACGCTGGTTGCAAGCCGTACATGGCGGTAAGGGGGCCAGATTAGCACCTGGGCGGCCAGCATGCTAATTAGCTTGGAAACTGACAATTTACAAATAGTTTTAATGTTTCTTTTGAAGAGCTTTTTTTTCTTGCTTTCAATTTACATTATGAGAATTCCCCATTTGACAATGGCTCGCATTGGACGTACTATTTACAAATGTTTTGGTTTCCTCCAATATAATTCACCTGTGTGTTCCCGAAATCTGTTAAAAAATTTTACGTGTGCGTGTGTAATTTAATGTAATTCACACGCGGACGCACGCACAAACAATCTCCTTAAGGGAAGCTGTTTGGGGCGGGATGCTCTTTCGTTGCTGGAGGACGGAGACTCGACTGAAGTCTTAGCAGCAATTTGTGGGTTTAAACCCCATGAACGTCTTTCCGCTGAGCCGCGTGCCTGTCAGCCAGCTGTGTAAATTTGTGCGCCTTGGGGATTCAGTTATGTCAGGAGAGAAATTATAATTCTGAGTGGGAATCGGCAGTAAATCATGGCAGCTTGGCAGCAGAACGTTGCTGCGGTATGCCAGAGACACTTCTGTGGTCAGTCTTATTTTATGCCGTGTGTGAGGTTTTAATGATTCCAGTTAGATTGAAGGAGTCCAAGTGTGCCCTATGCCTTTGGTAAATGATCGTTTAGAACAGTGTTGCTCAACCCAGCCCTCGGAGACCACCAGACAGTCCGCATTTTTGCTCCCTCCCACTTTCCCGTATGCCTGTACCAGGTATTCCGAGTTCTTGATTTCTTAATTGTTTGGTTCAGGTGGGCTGGGATCTGGGAGGGAGCAAAAATGTGGACGGTCTGGGGGTCCCTGAAGACTGGGTTGAAAAGGTCATGGATAAAGTGTTCGTGGGTGCTGGGGGGTTTGGGAGGCTTCGGATGCCAGGCCGTGATGGAATTCTGTGTTTGTGTGTTTCAGCCTGAGAGGATCAACCCGGAGACGAACCAGAAAGGTTATAACGTCAAGTCTGACATCTGGAGTTTAGGGATCACCATGGTGGGTACATTCCTGTCCTCCTTCCCTTCTCCTTCCTCCATTCTTGCTGCTCCTTCATGTGCCGGCAGAGTGAGGTCACATCAAAGCACTCGGCAGTCATCCTTTGAGAAGCCGTACCTCTTGTTGCCTGAAATCCCGCCAACGCTGGAATGCTTATCCTTTGCTTGTATTATGTCTGAACAAGGAAAGATTTTTCTGAGTGCTCGTGAATTGCAAACGCCGTCCCGCGGCCTTCCTCCACAGATCGAGCTCGCCATCCTCCGGTTCCCCTATGACTCGTGGGGAACGCCGTTCCAGCAGCTCAAACAGGTGGTGGAGGAGCCGTCGCCGCAGCTTCCGGCCGACCGCTTCTCGCCGGAGTTCGTAGCCTTCACCTCCCAGTGGTATGTTCCTCTCTGGGGCCGGTTTAGGTTTGGCGTTTGACGGCAATCTCGGCGTCTCCTTTCTCTGACGCCCAACCTTGACGCGTGAAGGCCGTGCAATGCGTCTGTTGTGACTCTGGTAAACCACATGAGTTCTGGCAAGATGCTGCACATCTGCCTGTGTATCTGTACCCCAGCTAAAATGACTGAAGACGCAAACTTGTTTAGACAGCCTGTCTGTCACCACAACTCTGCGGGCCAAATATTGTCATCTTGGTTTTCTTTGCATAGAGAAAATTCTGTTGTCTTGCAGTGGTCTAGTCACCTGTTGCATGTCTGTTTGGAGTGAGATGCAGCTGGTGACCTGTGTAATGGTTCCTCCCTTGGTGGTTGAGGTGTAGCTTGTATCTTCAGCTACAGAATGTGGAATGCAGGGGGTGGGGGCCGGGGGGGCTCTGCTTTTGAAGGAGGAAGCCTGTTGGTTTGGCTGAACGCGCCACAGCCTGTTTTGGGCAGGTGTCCCGGTAATGCTGTGCCCTCTGACCACAGCCTCTTCCTGTCCCGGTTCCTGTTAATGCTGCTCTCCCTCCCCACTGTCTCCCTGTTCTGGAAGCACTGGGACAAAGCCCCGCCCCTCTCCAATATTTCCACCCTTGCTCCACCTGCTGGGCAGAAAGAGCAGGTGCATTTGACAGCGGTGATCCTTTACCGTCAAGCTGACCTACGGGCAGATTCTTGCACATTCCTGTCGTTCTTCTCTGCCACTTTCCATGGGCAAAATTTACACATCCCGTTTTGCCACGTCCCTTTGCACCGGAAGCCATCCCCTCTGCCCCGTGCTGTACATGTTTGTATAGTTTTTCACTTTTTTTTTTTTTTGCAATTTTGTTTTCTACCCGCAGTTTGAAGAAGAATGCCGTAGAACGTCCTACTTACACAGAACTCATGGTAAGAATTCAACCATTTCTCAGTGACAGCTTCCTGAGATTCAGAGCATGATGCCAATGTACCAGATAGTATTTACCAAGACTGAAAGTACCTTTTTATTGAGGGAAACCCGTTACTATGGAGACTAATGGGATTTCATTTTTGTCTCTTGTTCTTCTTAAATAGCCACAAGGGGGCGAACTAAACCCAGTGATTGAATTGACTGTGCTTTGTTTTTATTATTATTTATTATGATTTTGTTCTTTACCACACATTTGGTTCTGTGCTTCGGCAATATGTCGTTTATCAAAAAGTGCAGTTTACAGAAATGCATGTCAGCGACTGTCCTTTTTCTGTTAATGGTTTATTCATGTCTGATATTCTGCAGCAACATCCATTCTTCCTGCTCCACGACTCCAAAGACACTGACGTGGCCGGCTTTGTTAAGATCATCCTGGGGGCCTGAGGGCGGGGCCTCTCCCCGTGACTCTGCCCACATGCTCTGGGGAGGCGGGACTACTCCAAAAAAAATCACAATCCAGCTCCCCGTGGGAAACCTTCACATCCTCTCCTGTCTGCCCTTAGGGAGCTGTTGTCCACCGCAGCAGGGGGGTTAACCCACTAGGGGGTGCTCTTCCACTTTGAATATGCTTTCAAATTCTGAACTTTATATTTCCATCCCACCCTCAAGTTCAAAGAGTTATTTAGCTCCTTACACCTACCCCCAAAATCTATTCTTCTACGCATCGAATTTTGACTTGTCTGTCTGCCTGGTTATATTTTCTGAAATGTTTCATTTAACGGGCAGGTGGCCAAGCACAGGGAAAATAAAGATATTTATCTGCTATATCTGTATATGCATGCCTACACAGTGAGGTGTTTGAGTAACCGAACGCATGCAGAAACGAGGCAAAGTTGTTCATATCCGATTATGAATTCTGCCTTTTGAGTGACAGAAGGGCGAGCACAGGACCCAGGCGGGAACATCCGTACATCTGGGGTCCACATGCCACTGATGTGATTTTTGTGTCTATGTTTGCATGCTCCTTCTACCTGTTGCACATCTGTGCTGTGATTGGTTTAAGGAGTGACCAGTCTTCATTTCTGAGCCATTCTGTGGACTCGCCTCTGTGTGATCTTGTTGCAAGGAACTGGAAAGCAGAATATATTATTGTTATTTTTAATTATCATCATCCAATATCAGTTGCTTATATATATATATATATTTTTTCTCCTTGAATTAAGTGGTTATGCAGTTCCTGTATTTATTCTAACTGCTGTTTCTCCCCTCCCCCTTGATAACTTGACGTTTTCTTGATTTTTATGTGCGTGTGTGTGGTGGTGGGGTGACTGATGTCGCTGTCCTTGCTAGCGACTTGCAAAATCATCTTTCTCCGGTGCACGTCAAGAGCGCCCAGATCGTGTAGCATGCTAGTGATTGTGGTCCAGATTATCATCCTCATTATGAAATGACCACTGTCCGTTTGTAGTGCAGATCTGGCCGGCAGCTCCAGTGCCCCTCCCCCTTCTCCCCACCGCCATAATTTTGAGATGCCCCCTCGCCGTTTCTCAGCCGCCCTCTCATTTATGGAGTTGTGGCTCAGTGTCTTCCCTGTTTGGTTACAGACATCACACATTCTACTCTCATGACATGTTAGCTGGACGTGGGAAGCGTCAAGGTGGCCCAGCATGACTGTCTTTTAATCCTGAGGGGGGGGGCAGGGGCTGTTTAGCAGTGGGGGTCTGTACTGTATCCTGGTCTTCACAATGCCTCTGTTTGGTAGTCTTCCTGTGTGGGGTTGGGGAGGCAATGTCAGTTAACCGTAATTGAAATTAGAGGCAGACCCAAAGCCTGCATGCCGGGGGTTCTGGTGACACCCCTCCTCGGGTTCGGTGGCCTCTGGCCAGGCAGAGGGGCTGAATGAGCCCTTTTCCGGCATTGCAGGACTACTTGTGTCTTATTCCACTCTTATCACATCATGCACCGGCTGCTAATTCTGATACACTACCTTGAACTGGTGTGTTTTTTGGTGGATCGGCTGTTTTTGCTGCATTTTCGGCGCTCTATGCAATGCCGTGATGTTCTCCGTGCCGTCCTTATCTCTCTATGCCCATATTATACTGCTTACGATGGACCGGCTCGTGAGATTGCTCCTTGGGCTGTTCTAACTGTCTACTTTGATTCCCCACATACTGTTAGTGAGTCCTTAACACCTTTTCAATCTCCTGCTCATTAAAAAACAAACAAAACAAAACCACCACTAGGAGCTGCCACCTAAGGCCGCGCACAGGTCCCTGGTACCTGGTGGTGTTCCCCTTGGCGCTGCATGTAGCCAGCACCTGTGTGTCGTGGCACTCCTGGGCTTTCGGAGCTACTGGCGGGCACGCTTTCCCCGGGCGAGGCGTGAGGAGGTCAGGGTAGCACCTGTCGGCACTCGTTTCTCCACATGTTGGAACCCGAGGCCGTTGCCCTTTTGGGATAGTTTTGCAAACTGGCGTGGACTCGGGTGAGAGGACCGCGCAGGTAGAGCTTCAGCAGAAGGCCTGCTTTGACCTTCATACTCAAATGCTCTAGAACAAAGGTTCTTTTGTGTGTGTATATACAATAGAAACATGCACTGTATAACACGTCTTAATTCTAGGTTATATCAGAATAAGTGTCCTTATTTTGTACGACCCCTTTAAAGCCAGTGCTTGGAACTCTGGGTACCTGTGCTGCTGACTTTGTGCTGCACTTTGCAGGACTTGCTAAGGGAATCGATCTCGCACGATCGTAAGCAGCCCTGTTGGCTGCCTGGCTCGGTTATGACATCAAAGCCCCCCCCAGCACCGCCGGCAGCGTGCCAGACCACCTGAAGTGTTAGAATTCGGTGTCACCTAGAGCTTGACTTTTTATTCTGGGTTTTTAATAGTGAAATGAGAACCAGGGAACCTAGTGGACCCTCACCCTCCCAACCCCCCATGGAATCGGGGTGGGGGGGGGCACGCTACGTAGAAGTCTGATGAATTGGGTATGGTTTGAGAGAGGAATACGGATGGAGTGAAGGTATGAGTGCTGTATCACCTTTGCTGTATTAAGGCACAGACCTTCTTCAACAATCCAATCGTGCATCGATAACCAGTGTTTATGATCCCCGTCAGAGGGTAATCTAACCCATGCTATGCATTGGGCACCAGGAACGAACTGGCCTTTTCCACACCCCTGCTCCTGTCTGCTTGGGTATAAATGGCAAGGGTGTTGCTTTGGGTCCACATAAAATATACCTGCACCCCCCACAGCGAGCTTTCCTGTCCAGCTCCCCCCCCCCCCCAGGCACTGTACAGTACTG